CGTAATTAGACCCAGGAAAGAGCAGGCGCCCTCACACACCTCTTGCAGGAAAGCTCCTAGAATGTTCTACAAGCATGGCATGTTACCTCATGTTCAAGCATCGAGAATCAAAAACTGTAAGCTTTTCAAAAAACACTGACAGGACTTTCCTTCCAACCTAATATAAAAGAAAAGATATTCATAAGAGCAAGACAGAAGACTATAGAAAGCAAAAAAGACAAAAGCAGCCGCTGTTGTGACTAGAAACTTTTGGCGGGGCTTGTCACCCATGTCTGTGGGACGCTGCAAACCAATATAGTCCTTGTTCGCTGCGTATGCCGGGTTGTCTCGGATCCAGGTATGGCGCGACGCCAACCCCTTCTCCTGCAATCGTGAAAGAGGGGAAAGCGACAATGACATCGGCAAAGCGAAGACCGTGCCAGACATAGCCCTCCCTTTTTCCTCCTCCCTTTTCTCCTGGCGCGAAACAGCATCCGCAGCGAACAGCACCGTATATTTGACATAGCAGGTTATCCGCGGTTCGATAAAATGCTAACGACTAGCAACAGTTGTCAAATTAAGAACATTTTCATAGCATTTTTTTATAGAAGCACTGTTGACTAGAATATTCGACGAATCGGTCATCGACCTACTCCTGATTGATATGGATGGTGGAGAAGTGGCAATCTACCCAACTCTTTTGCGATTAGCAACTGAGGGCAGGTTCAATCAATTAGCCATTCGTGGACAGTGAGTTTGCATCTACAGTCACCCCTCTGAAAAAGCTTTTATTTTCAAGGAATTTCTTATTATTACAGCATATGGTCCGAAGAAAACGAGAACTTCCGACAGATCTATTGGAGTTTGCGACAAATGCAGTATTACGGGTACTCTCAACAGATTGGACGAGTTGACTTGCCTCGTTATGATGTGGTATTCGAGAGAAAATAAATTTTTTAGAAAAATAGAATACACAAAGCAATTGAGTGTCGTTTTTATATTCCCGAAAACCTCCATATGAGTGTCAGAATATTGTTGACGTGATATGAAGACGTGCGAACAAAAGAAGCATCATTTCGTGTCTCCCTCTCCGTATCAGCTCCCAGCGACTTGTGCGATAACTCTTTGTGACCCGTTATTCTTTCAAGCTCGCCTTCCGCTGATTTCTGTTTCTTATCGCTAACTGTTTTAACAAACAATCGATTAGTTACTATGCAGTATACAAACTGTAAGTGGGAAGTCCGATCATGTCAAGAAATCCACACGAGGCAAAGGTGGGGAAAGGGCGAAATAACCACCAGGCTTACATTTTTGACAGACCTGCCTTTTGATATGCTCTCCTTGAGTCCTAATGCAGCACACGTTCGCCGAAAGGACACGTTTTAAAGTGGTGCCACCATTCATACTCGTGGATGGAGAAGTTGTGGTCGCGCACCTCCTTCGAGCGTGGCGGTTTGTGCGCTTCTGGTGAGCTATTGCCCTTTTGGGACGACTAAAAACGTCCTTCTGGTCTTGTTCAAGAGAAGATGACAGGGTCCCAAATGAAAATATCCCACGAAGAGCCCATCCATTTCTTCAACGGGCGTGCGCATCCACACGCTCATCTTCCGGGATTGAAAAGGGCGACTGTTGCACGAAGCCCGAATGGGTTCGAGGGACAGATCCTTTGGCCAACCAACTAGCTAAGAAATATACTGCTAGTTATGATAGCTGGGCTCTCGAGAATGAGCATGACTCATCCAGTCCTCTTCATGATCACGAATGACCATGTCCCAATCACTAGAACGACTTCCGTAGAAAAAAGGGGGATTGCACATTTTGTTCGTAGGACGGATCCTTGAAGTTCACTCCATACAGGTCAGTAGGCTACCTGAAAGACTCACGGTGCAGTATTCCTGGGAGGTTCCTCTATACGGTCCAGTAAGCACTTTATCCCAGCTCCCACGGCCACTAAAAGGTGAACCCACCCTTCATCACCGTCTAGCTCGAGACTACTTACAGTAATCGCGTCGGCCTGAAGAAGTTGTGTAACTTCCGCGGTTTAAAGGTATAATTGTTACTATGGTGGTGGACGAAATCAGCTGGCTAGCTCACACAGCGCCTTGGTCCACGAATTATTTTTCGAGACTTTTCCATACTCCACTGTGACCGTCAGGTTTATCGTCAAACGCCAGTAGATCCCGGCACATCGGTTTGACGGGATCTTAGGGTACAGGGGCCGAAGTCAGTGTCTATGGTGATTGTCCACTTCATTCGACTACCAGGGCGCTCCATGCAAAAAAAAGTTTTAGGGGTATCCTCTCTGAGGGAGGTCTCTTTTTTATTGTATCCCCTCTCTCCCCTGTGTTTCCTGATAGTGCTTTTCTGCTCAGTGGAGTGACAGCGCAGTGGCCGATGGGCAACACTTCAGTTAACCTGCTCAGGCCTGTTATCTCTTATGCGGTTCTTTTTCGAATTTCTGAGGGATTCATTTTGAGGGAGATCCCGCAGGACTCTGCCGTTCATGGCATAAGCCGAACACGCATGAAAGGATCGTCCCGCGGTCAAAAACTGGTAGGTTGTAGAGCTCGAATGCTGTGATCAATTCAATAGTAAAGAACAGGTCGTTCGAAATTCTTAAGCCAGAATCCCCTGTCGATCCTAGCTCGTACGAGCATACGAAAAAGTGTGCGCTTAACAACTTTCCATTCATTGGCTTCATGACGTGCCAGCTCTTTTCCCTGATAACCTTACCCTTACCTATCGAAATGGAAGCAGCTTGTGACGAAACACTGGCATCATCAGGTAGCCGTTAAAAATAAACCTTAGAGTTACTGTGGCCCAGTGGCCAGGGCGCGGCCTTCGTCGCAATCGGCTGCCGTCGTCATTTCGAGCTGGGTCGTTCGAGCTGTTTTTGCACGCAATGAGACTTCTTCTGAGTTCATAGACAGTACTAGCTTGTACGGATTCAGCACACTCAGTGACTCAATGATCGCAAGAAGTGCCTTTGAATAGCTCTTACGATAACGGGAGTCAAACACATGACGCGAACAGATTGGTCTAGTATGTCGATCCCGCTCCCTTTTTGCCACTATGGAAGATTCGTCAGAGACCGTACCCACTTATCGACGGTAACAGTAGTATTCAAGCTATGCGCTAGGTACATTCTCCACAGAGTCCACGTCAACCTCGAAAACTTCATTATGGTGTTTACTATTTTTCACTGAGAGAAGTTTTTCTATATGCTGAGATTGCCTTGCAGTATCGTGGTGCGACTTAACCGTGAGACTGCCTGAGTCGTAATGTATTCACTCCTATGACACGTGCAGAGCACGGTGTTTCGTGAAAAAACCTTTAATCTTTGTATCAGAAGATGACTGTCTCATTTTGAAATGACATACGCAAGCCTATTTCTTTCCATCACTTCAGCTGTTATCACTGGCAATCATAGAGTAACTGTCACGTTTGAGGAGTATTAATTCTATATTACGAGCACAAACCATGTCGTAATATCTTCAAAGCTTACTGGAAACAGTTTGAACCTGTGTAATCTATCCGTTTTTGACTTTCTTTTCATGCCACTCTTGATAATCTGCTTCTCTGAACATATTTCGCTCTCTCTCTGTCTGTCTCTCTCTCTCTCTCTCTCTCTCTCTGACACCTTACGCAATGACAGCGTTCCGCAATAGCGCGTCTCGAACCTTTACTGTAACAGAAGTAGGACAGCGACATCAGTGAGAAACGGGCAGTGTTCCTGGGTCTCCGCCCACTTCTCCGCCCATCCAGTTTTCGCGGAATTCACCTTGACAGCAATGAAGCCACGTCGCAATAACGTTAAATGTGGAACTGCTCCTGATAGAGGATTTCATTCATTTCACAGGGACGAAGCCTTGCAAGGAAAGCTACGATATCCGGATGTGTTTGCGGTGACCCTACTAATTGTGAGCCCAAAGCGGAGAAAGGGCGGTCGACACTTTCACAACAGAAACTGCTGAAGTATTTCAGATTCTAATACTCGTACCAGAGCTATTCTGTCCACTTCCTGAACAACATCACTGTCGTAGTGCTGCTCATTTGAGCAATCAACCGAGTACCTTGGGCACTGCATCTGCCTATCAGACTCCCTGATTGGCGGAGTATCCTGACAAGTCTCACAGAAAACACTGTACAGATATGCAGGAATATCGCTCTGTACTCTTCTCAGCCAGCCTATGATGGCACCCAGGCCTTCAAAGCGCGGCGCTGGGTGCAGGGTCCAAGGAATTCACCTACATTTAAGAGAGCTGGCCTTCCTTTTGCTCCCGAAGAGAGGGGGGGGGGAAGTGAATATGTGATACACAGTGGGCACAGGTCTGTACTGTCGCATCTCCAGAATCCGTCAAACCGGCTTGCAGTAGCCCAAGGCCACTGACAGTCAAATTTGACTTGTAGGATCAACCAAACTGTAATGATCAAGCCAAGGAAATTACGCAGCTTTTTGAAGCTGATGCAATTACTATAAGGCTTCTTGAGCTGTACGGCAATAATGGGTGGCTACTCCTCGTGACTGTGGAGGCAGTGATGGACTGCTATCATTTTTCCGAAAACGTCTGAAAAAATGTTTTACCTCTGTGTATCCTAACTGTTTCCAGTGTGACGCGAACTCCAATGGTGGATGCAATAAGCGGGGTGCATTCCCTGCCCTTGTCCTGTGTTCGCGATCTACCAAACGCTATACTACTACTACTATAACTTTTTCACAGTTAGACTTTTGGAAGTGTTCTAGAGCATCCTGATGATTACGTGCTGAGGAAAAAGCTCGTTCTAGAGCTTGAGCGTGAAATTCTGACAACTCAGGAGACATTCCGATATTTCACTATAATCGTACTCTAACTATGAATGGTGTTCATTCCACCCGTGTTGAATTTTGTTTTATCCCAGGGCTGAGTCATTCTCTAACCTCGTCAATGTCAGCAGCTATTTTTTATATGCTGTTTATTCGCGTGATCTTGGATGGTTTTTTGATAGATGTTGAATTGCTTTTTTGAGAAATTTGACCAACCATGTATATTTGTGGAAAGCGAAGTCAAGTAGCTGTGGAAAAATTTTATGAGAAACAAAAGGATCTCGTTGAAGCCTGGAAAGAAGATGAAAAACATTTGCACAACGCTAGTTCTATTGATCAGGTGGCAGCAGCAGAAAGCGAACAGCGAACGAAGGTAAGAGCAGCCATTCACAACTGTGTGGTAACCTCTACAAAACTCAAGAAGCAAGTTATCACTGAAATTGCAATGGAGGCGGTAAGGGAGGGGGAGGTAGCCTTAGGATACACCGCTAGGCATTGCTGATAACTTTGAAGAAATCTTATATGTATGGTGTGCAGGGTTTGTCATTAATTGGGAATTTTTGTCGAGATCGCACCCCCGCCCCTCCTTCCCCATCCTACCACTCTTCCTTTCTTTCGACTTCTATAAGATTTTCTGTCGAGCTGAGGAGAGGGGAGGGGGGGAGGCAAATGAAGACTTCCCAACAACGAGCATATACGGCTCCCTCCCTCTATAGCGCTCTGAAACAAGAAAAATCAGCCATAAAGGGAATTATTTCTCAGACCAAATACGACCTCCCCCCTTCCCCCAGCGACCGAACAAATGCGATGCCTCCTCCACCTGTTGGGTGATCCCCAACGATGATGTGCCCTGATGGTTTGGGCCACTTACCATTCGAGCTCTTCTACTATCGTGAAAGACACCAC